CATGTTCTCTCCGTGCAGTGTGGGTTCTCTCCGGGTTCTCCGGCTTCCTCCAACATGCTGAGGTTGATTGGTGATTCTAAATTGTCCGTAGGTGTGAATGTGAGTGTGCTTGGTTGTCTGTCTCTAGGTGTAGCCCTGTGATAGACTGGTGACCTGTCCAGAGTGTCCCCTGCCTTCACCCTGAGTCAGCTGGGATAGACTCCCCCGTGACCCTAGTGAGGATTAAGCGGTGTATAGATAATGGATGGATGGTCAATGGGGACTGACTCACTTTTATAGCCAGCCTCAGGTGGCCATTCAGGGAACTGCAATTTTGAGCACCTCCACATTGGCTTAAGTTTTTTAAGCCATGGGTGATGTCACTTGGAAAATTTAGGTTTGATTAGTCAGGGAAGCCCAATCAGTGTAGGAGCTGGCCACAATTATCAGCCGATAGGTGCCTGTCAGACATATATCAGTATCCGCATGTATGTTGTCCAATATGTAAACTTTCTTACATAATGGTGGAGGTGATGAGTCAGGTGGTGTTTGCACAACAATATGCTAACTTGTTTTAAAAATACATGGAAAGTAAATTAACAATGAGATCATCAGTTTCCTTTTTCAGTATAACTCTTACATATGTATGAATATCTCTAAATAATATTGGGCAATATTTTATTATCTGAATTTCTTACGCTCTACAGACCCGTATTAGCTCAACTAGTCAGGTGATCTCCCAACCAAATGTTTTATTTTACTTGAAAGACGACAGAGATGATTTGTCATCCAAATTATTGTTGATGGATTTTCTGTCAAATGATTAATCAATTAAATAACACATTGTTTCCCCACCCCAGCCCCTCCTGCTATCCCCCTCCACCCTCTTCCCCACTTTTCCCGAACAGTCGAGGCACATGGCCGCCTTCCCTGAGCCTGCTCCTGTTGGAGGCTTTTTTTCCTACCCGTTAAAGGTTGTTCTTTTTTTTTTTTGTTCCTTCCCACCATCGATGACTGCTTAGGGAATAAAAAGGCACCTTTGGATTGGTGGGCTCTCTGTTCTTTGTTTAAAATTCATAAGATCTTTACCTTCTCTGTAAAGTGCTATGAGATGACATATGTTGTGAACTGGGGCCGTATAAATAGAATTAAATTGACAATTGAAAGTCTATTATGTGATACAGCCGTATATCTCATTCCATTTATGAGCTGCCATGTACCAGTGCCACTATAATGACAGAAGGAGGAGCATAGACATAATAAGAACATTTACATCTGCCAGATGATGGCACACATGCACCATATGTTGTTATGCTCTCACACAGCATATGTATGACTGTATGAGCACTCAGAGCAGTCAGATGACTCATGTTTGGGCTTTCTCTCATATGAATATCTTCTGTCTGGCATTCAGGAGCCAGAAAATGACCTTTTCCTTCTGTTTCCTTCTTCCTAACTGTTCTCATCTCTCTCTTTCTGATCAGTGTCCTTCCTCCAGGGATCACATGCATCATCACTTGATTAGCTGTGAGTGCTGCTGTAGCCGACTACAGAAAGAGCCCTTGTGATTTCATGGTTTGGTGAAGAGGAAATTCTTGCATTCTTCCCCAACATTACGAATATCTGGATAGGTCAGTTAAATACTAACATGTCTCTTAGTATCCACCCTGTACGCAAACCAGGACACATCTTCTTAAAGCCCGTCACCAGTTTTGGAAGATTCCTGAACGTGGCACAG